GTAGTTGTCAAAATTAGGGTCCTTTTGGGGGTCCTTATAATAAGGATCCTACTATTTAGGGTTTAGGGTTTAGGGTTTAGGGTGCAGGGCTACTATATGGGTAGTTGTCAAAATTAGGGTTTAGGGTTTAGGGTTTAGGGAGATAATAGGTGCCGTATTATAATAAGGACCCCAAAAGGGACCATGATTTTGACAACCACTCACATGAACACCTTGAGCTTCTAAGCTTCACAAACCCAGAGAGCCCAATACCCCTTAAGGAATCGACCTTAAATTATAGGGGCCTATAATAGGTGCGACAGGGCGGCCGAAGCCCTGCAGCGAGAACCCAAGGTTTCCCACACAGATCTTGACTTTAACTTAATATAGGGGTTTAGGGTTTAGGGTTTAGGGTTTAGGGTTTAGGGGCCTTACTTGGAGGATCATGGGACTTAGTAAGTAAGGTTATAAGTACCCTAATTGGGGTTATAATTATAGTTACCTTATTTATAACCCTAGCTACTAAGTCCCATGATCCTCCAAGTAATAGTTCGGCCTCAAAGGACTCATAGCTTTCGAGACTTCGGCATTCGGCTGCGGGTGCTCTCTCTTCGTGAACGCTTCATCCACGCTGAGGACGTTAACTTCTCCGTGGACCAGATGTAGAGCTTCCCAAGGTTGCACTTCAGAGCATGGGGCTCACTAGCTCAGAGCTTGGGGTTGATCATCATGTCGTGCTGGCGGCGGTTTAGGGTTTAGGTTTTAGGGTTTAGGGTTTCGAGGGGGTGGGCAGACCACTTTGCTTTACATCTTTCGGAAAATCCTCCGGCATCGCCCCATGAGTTCAAGGGCTGGCCGCGGACGTCAGCCCCTCAAAGCAACAGACATGCCCGTGGAGTCTGTATCAACGCAAACTTGCGTAAGGGGCCACAAATGTCGGAGTTTAAGCTTTGGGATTGCAAAGTCCTTCAGTGATGAGAAGACCGAGCCCTTGCAGTTGCTACGAACCAAGCCTGAAACATAGTCGACATAGCATGACCCAGAGCCTCCAAACCTTCCTTCGACGGTTACGAGTGCTACTCGGTTGACGAGTGCTACTGCCACTGCTGGCACTTCTGTCGTCACCACTGCTGCCGCTACTGCTAACGCTGATGTTATGAGGGGAGGATGACACCGGTGGTGATGATGACGATGGTGATGACAATGGCGACGACATGGTGACGAAGAAGATGAAGGCGGCGACGATGTTGATGATGATGATGAGGAGGAGGGGGAAAATAAGAGGAGGACGAATCACATTTGATGACACTCATGATGCTAATCAAGATGATAGTCCTGGTGATGAAGATGGTGACAACGATGACGATGATGATGATGATGATGATGATGATGCTGATGCCTATGCTGGTAAGACTGATGATGACTATGGTAATGGTGATGATGACGATGATGATGGTCATGAGGATGATGGTGGTGATGATGATGAAGAAGAAGAAGATGATGATGATGATGATGGCGACGACGATGGTGATAGTGATGATGACAGTGATTACAGTGATTATGATGATGGCGACGACGACACTTGCGAGCAGTCACTGAGACAAAGCGGCTTGTCAACAAACCGATTACCAGTCGCAATGTTCCAGTCGAGACTGTGTCAAGGTGGTCTGAAGTTTTCGCGAAATCGGTTCAGTTCACCGCGCAAGTACCTAGAGACTCCAATACCCCCTAATTAAGGAATATACCTTAAATCATATCAGGGATCCTGTTATAATTTAGGGTATATTCCTTAATTAAGCGATATTGGAGTCTCTGGGTATGAGTCTGAGGCTTTCTCCTGTACGATGTTTAGGCGTCAGGCCACGCCGGTAATTTTCTCTGCGCAACTCGACCAAGCAGAACACCCTTTGTTTTCAAACTCCTAAGGGTTGCAGGGTTTAGAGTTTAGGGTTGAAGGTTTTAGGGTTTCAGGGTTTAGGGTTTCAAGGCTTAAGGGTCTAAGACTCTAGGAGCCTTTTGGGAATGCCCCTGATCTTGAGTACAGAGCTCGAGTACCCGGAAGGCTCGGCTCTGCGAGGTTCGGGGGTCAGGCTGAGCGACACTCCAGGCCAGAGTTGTTAGGTTTCATACGCTGAATACTTGCCTGAACCTTCTTCAGCTGGGTGGCGAGTAGGCACCAATGGTCTGCAAAGGAGGAAAGCGCCGTTCCGCCTTTCCGTCAAAGCCAGAAGGAATATACCTCAAATTATAAGGGGCCTGATATTATGATTTAAGGTCTATTCCTTAAGTAAGGGGTATTGGGCTCTCTGGGTGCAAGGCTGGAATTTGAACGCTTGACGTCGAGACTTGGAAGCTGGGTTGCAGCAACACTTCAAGAGGCGGAGAGCACAACTTACTACCCCTTTCTTAACTAAGGAATATACCTTAAATCACAATATTGAGCCCCCTATAATTTAAGGTCTATCCTTTATTGAAGGGGTATTGGGCACTCTGGGTAAGAGATGCACAGAAGCGCCTTCACCTCTTCTGTCAGCACGTGGATAAGCCTCAGGTTTAGGGTTTAGGATTCAAGGGTGTACGGTTTAGGGGTTTAGGGTTTTCTTTATATAAAGTGCTTTGGGACTTTCTCTCTGGTTTAGGATTCAGGGTTTAGGGTTTAGGGGTTTAGGGTTTTAGGGTTTAGGGTTTAGCGCAAGCCCGGAAGCCTCCATCCTTCGTAGAACCTACTGGCAGGATCTTGGGACTTAGTAACTAGGGGTATAAGTAAGGTAGCTATAATAATTATAACCCCAACTAGGGAACTTATAACCTTACTTACTAAGTCCCATGATCCTCCAAGCACACAAGCCCTTAGCAATGCCGCAACTCAAGCATCGACAGACTACACCGGCACCTCGACACCTGCTGGCATTTAACCAGTAGGTCGGCACAAGTGTATTGACTGTATTGATGGCAAGTGTGGACCGACGAACCATTTCCCAGAGCATCCACGAGCAAACATAGAAGAACATGCCAAGTAGCAGACTTGGACCCTGGCCCTTGCAGGACACCCCATGCTGGGGTAGGATTCCCTACCTAAGGGGCCTTAATAATTAGAATAGGGTTTTGGGCTCCTTTATAGTACTATTAAGATAAGGAGCCCTAACAGTAATAGTGATTGGTACTTATTTTGGCTTCGATATTACCCCCCAAAGGCTCCATGTACCTTTATAGTAGACACTTAGGCCTTAAAGGGGTCCCTATATAGGTACTTTAAGGCCTAAGTATCTCCTATATGGGTACATGGAGCCTTAGGGCCCAAGGGGCCCAGCCCCCCTGACAGTTTCGGGGGCCCAGCAGCAGTCTGAGTCCCCCCCTGTCTCGTCCCCAGAGAGCCCAATACCACTTAATTAAGCAATATACGGGAGTTTCAGAAAATTAGGGTACCTTATTTGGGGATCCTTATAATAGGGATCCTATTATTTAGGGTACTATACTAGGGTCACCTATTTTCGGAACTCCCCATACCTCAATTCATACCTATAACAACGCAAAACCTAGAGACCCCAATACCCCTTCAATAAGGAATATGCCTTAAATTATAGGGCCCTTAGTATTATGATTTAATGTATATTCTTTATTTAAGGGTATTGGGCACTCTGGGTCTCATGCACTGCTACACTTCCATTTTGCACCATGGACCCCTGAAGCTTCGCCTTTCAAGGATGATCGCCAAGCCACTGTAACATTCATTTTTTAATACTATATATGATATTGTACTGTACTACATCAGATATTATATCATATTCGATTATCTATCTTATCATCACTACATCATCTTATATACATATATACACATTATATATATATACATATATATATATATATAATCAGATTCCATTATACTATACGTGCTATTTCACCTCCTCCTTAGCCTTCTAAGCCCAGTGCCACAAAGCCATCTCGGGAGCTGGTGCCTTAGTGACCCGGGGGCTCAAGCGCCATATGGGAGTTTCCGAAAATGAGGGGTGCCGTATTTTGGGGTCCGTATAATAAGGATCCTACTATTTAGGGTACTACATTAGGGTCCCCTATTTTCGGAACTCCCAGATCGGTGGCTTTGGGCTTTAGGTGGGCTTAGGGGTGTAGGGCTTAGTGGGTTTAGGGGGTTTAGTGGGCTTTTAGGGGTTTAGGGCTTCAGGGCTTCGTGGGCTTAGGGGTGTAGGGCTTTGTGGGCTTTTAAGAGTTTAGGGCTGTAGGGCTTCGTGGGTTTAGGGTTTGAGGCTTAGTGGGTTTAGGGCTTCGTGGGTTTAGGGGGTTTAGTGGGTTTAGGACTTAGTGGGTTTAGTGGGTTTTTAGGGGTTTAGGGCTTTGTGGGTTTTTAGGTGGGCTTAGGGGTGTAGGGCTTCGTGGGTTTAGGGGGCCTAGTGGGTTTTAGGTTTAGGACTTAGTGGGTTTAGTGGGTTTGGGGGTTTTGAAGGGTTTAGTGGGTTTAGGGCTTCGTGGGTTTAGGGGGTTTAGTGGGTTTAGGGCTTCGTGGGTTTAGGGGGTTTAGTGGGTTTAGGGCCTCGTGGGTTTAGGAGGTTCGGTGGGTTTAGGGCCTTAGTGAGTTCGGGGGTGTAGGGTTTCGGGCTTGGTGGGTTTAGGGCCAGAATGTTCTTAGGGATTCTCTTTCGGAGTTTAGGCGTCGATGCGGCGAAAACTATAAACAGTCCTTGAAGAATTGCTTGTTTGGCTTCAGTGGTCCTAGGATCATTTTCGGGCATTGCGGCCTTCGCTTGCTCGTAGGATGAACGGCATTCTCGATTTGGTCCGAATCCTAAACCCTAAACCCTAAACCCTAATTTTGGGTGCAAGTCCTAAACCCTAAACCCTAAACCCTAATTTTGAGTTCATGTCCACTGCCTGTCCAAAGTAGCCGGACCGTACCGGCACCAAAGGCCTTAGGTGCTTGGCCTTTGTGAAGCGGGTGGGGGGGAAGAGAGAGCCTCGTTTACAGAAGTTACGAGCAATTAGTATTCGGTTTAGGGTTTAGGGTTTATGGCTTAGGGGTTTAGGGTTTAGGGTTGTTAGGCTTGAAGCATGATGCGGGAGGGCGATTACAAGCTGCTCGCTGCAAGCCATCTGGCAAAAGTTCTTTTGTTGAGCCCCCAATCCCTAAACCCTCCTAGGCCCTAAGCCCTAAACCCTAAACCCTAATCCCTAAACCCTAAACCCTAAACCCTAACCCTAATCCCTAATCCCTAAACCCTAAACCCTACGATGCTGATGGAAGTCGGCCTGCTGCGTCAAAGCACAGGCCAACCGGGCGGGGAAGTCGCTAAAGAAGCCTCGAAGGCCCAGGGGGTCAACTTTGGGACTTAGTGAGTAAGGTTTAGGGTTTAGGATTTAGGGTTTAGGGTTTAGGGCTTAGGGGAAGTATATCGAGCCTCTGCAACTGCTTTGCATTCGATTTCGAGTTTCGTGGTTGGAGGTTCGTTAATGTTGCCTGTATCGCTGTGGCGGTTATTGATAAGCTTCGTCGGCATTGTTTTGCGCAGGCTCGTCGTCGTTGGTTCACTTGCGTCAAGCTAGTGAGCAGTGAGTAGCATTAAGGCAAGGATAAGACAGTACCAGTCCTGGCGTTGAGAACATGAACGAACGGGATGATGAGAATGAAGAGGAGGAAAAGGAGGCAGAGGAGCAGAAGCAGGAGAAGGAGGAGGAACGTTACGATGATGCTGACTATGATGTTGTTGATCATGATGACGATGACGATGATGATGAAAACGGAATGATGACGACCTAGTTCAGATTTCGAAAGGATGAAAACAACAAAGACCTAAGCATCCAACCAAGCAGGTACCGCAGAAACCCGACCAAGCACCTTGCTACTTAGGTGCGACCACTTGCGACGAGGAGTACGACACGACAACACAGCTTGGTACCGCATGTCTTCGCTCTGCCCGAACCCGAGCAAGCCACTGCCATGTCGGGAACTGATTTGGCCGAAGAAGCAAAGGACCTGTGAAGCGGCAACGCGACAGCTCGGATGTCTTGTCAGGATGCTGGTGTAGAACGTGACGTAAAGTTGAGGAGTTGACGCAAGGGCCCGAAGTGGTGTGGAGTGCTTGGGTCTCGATTGCTAGTGTTTAGATAGAGGCTCAGTGGATGAAAGGGAAGCCTTTCATGCTCACCACAGGTCCCCGCCAGAGGATCGATATGACGTCGTTCCACGGGGAACGAATCGGTAGTCGAGTAGTTCTTCTATTCACCAGTGCTTGAACCGCCAACCCGGCATGCTGCAAGCCATGTGTGACTTCTTCACGAAACCGCCATCAGCAGAGCTAACCAGAACCTGTGCAGATGGGAGTTTCCGAAAATAGGGGACCCTAATATAGTACCCTAAATAGTAGGATCCTTATTATAAGGACCCCAAAATAAGGTACCCCAACTTCAAGCTCAGAACGGCTTTCACAGGGTCCCGGACGGTGAGCAGCACGACCCTGGGCAACTCCTTCCTCAGATCTGGCTAAGAGTCAGGCAAGCTCTGGTTTCCAGGTGCGTAGTTTTCTAAATTAGGGTCCCTTTTGGGGTCCGTTTCATAAGGGTGCCGTACTATATTGGGGACCTAAACAGGGACCCTAATTTAGAGAACTACCCAGGTTCAGAGAGCACTGGCAACAGTACAGCCAAACTCGCGACGGCATAGACAAATCTTCACCACGTGGAATGCTCGAAGACAAGCAGTTACTTGCAATGTCACACTGCATCCACAACCAATCAATGCTGATCATAATTTTCACATTGGGGGGGTTTCCGGTAATCGCGGGCCCTATTATAGTACCCTAAATAGTAGAATGCTTATTATAAGGACCCCAACACAAGGTACCCCTTGGGTACTGCCCCCACTCAGTAACAGTTGGATAATATTTATGTTATGGATATATTAGGCCCTTAATAGTAGCCCTATTATACACTGTTACTGTATGGGGGCAGTACCCAAGGTACCCCTCATTTTGTCGGAAACTCCTATTTGGTTTCGTACACCGAGGTGCAGTTCCCGCAGCAGCCGCCCTCTTTTGGAGCGCCGTTCGTCCGTCAGCTCGGCGTTCAAGCCCTGCGTGCGAGCGAAAGCATCATAGGTTTAGGGTTCGGGGTTTAGGGGTCTAGGGTTTAGGGGTTTAGGGGGTTCGGGTTTAGGGTTTAAGGTTAGGGGCCTTGATAACTAGAATAGGGCTCCTTTAAAAAGGGCTCTTAAAAGGGTCTATAAGGGTTACTATAAGGGCTATTCTAAGGGCTTAGGGTGTAGCCTTAATAATTCGAATAGTGTTTTGGGGCCCATGATAGGAAACTTATAATCAGGAACCCCCAAAATAGTATAGGTAATAATTAAGACCCCTATATTAGCTGGAGAATGCCCGCCACCGCCCGCTCCCCGCAACCCTCCCACCATGATGGCAACCAAATCGGAACCATCATCGGCATGATCATCACCGTCACCCTCACCAAACTAAAGATGAACGTAGACAGTACGACTACACCTGGCTCCAAGAGCTTGCCCCGAAGTCTTCCGCGATCAGGTTACGTGTTCACCTCTTTGCCAGGGTCCTGTTCTATGTCCTAGGCTTCATGGGGTTTAGGGTTTAGGGTTCGGGGTTTAGGGTTTAGGGTGTGGAGCATAAGAGTGTTTGCTGGCCCATACTGCTGGCTTGAGACATCCAGAATCTCTGCTCTAAAGTTGCAAACACTGCCGGCCAAAGCATGATTGGAAGGTTTGGCGCGGCTCTCTGTAATATGGGGGCCCAATACCCCTTATTATTCCTTAATTAAGGGGTGTTGGGCTCTTGGGGTCCACAATAATCATAATTAGAAACCCCCAAAATAGTATAGGTAATCGTTTAGGCCCCACCCTAAACCCTAAACCCTAATCCCTAAACCCTAAACCCAGCATTAGCCAAAGAGCCCAGAACCTGTGAAGAAAGCCTTCGCAACTGAAACTCCGAAAGCGTCGTCGGCAATGAACAGACCCAGAAAGCCCAATACCCCGTAATTAGGGTTTAGGGTTTAGGGTTTAGGGTTTAGGGTTTAAGGAATATATCTTAAATCATAACATTAAGGCCCCCTATAATTTAAGGTCTATTTCTAACCCTAACCCCTAAACCCTTATAGATCCCTTTAAGCGACCCTATACTGTAAGGTCTATTCCTTATCTTAAATTAAAGGGTTCTTTGGGGCTCTCTAAACCCTAAACCCTGCACCCTAAACCCTAAAACCCTAAACCCTAAAACCAAAACCCTAAAACCCTAAA